AAATGTGAATGCATCAGGTAGAAAGCATCATCATAATTCCCTTTATTTATTCTTTACTGCTTATTCATTTGAGAGAGAGAGAGAGAGAGAGAGAGAGAGAGCAGGAGAGGGGCAGAGAGAGACAGAGGCAAAGAATCTGAAGCAGGCTCCAGGCTCTGAGCTGTCAGCAGGAACTCAGCATGAGATCATAACCAGAGCCTTGGATGCAAGAGACTGAGCCACCCAGGCGGTCCCATAATTCCCTTTTATTAACTTAGTGTTTTAGGAAAGGTGTGTCAAGCCTCCTCAATGGCTCCCAGTCTAAGATCATAAGTGACAAACAATCCAGTGGCCTGGATGTTTTGTTTGGAAAGCACAGCACCCTCGGATGAGGGAAACTGGAGGAGACCCCCTTTGTCAAAGGGAATGCAATTATCTAAATCCTTAAACAATCGTCTCTTTCTGTTTTTCAAGTTAAGGCAGATGAAACTGACTTTATTTATTTGAAACTGGCTTTTTAAATGCATAACTTTATTCTCAAAGTGATTCCTTTTTACGTAAAAGTACACAGGCTTGCCAAATATTGGTCTGGGATGGTTGGAGCTAGAGAGGGGCACATGGCCCAGCTGTGTTTGGACAAGGACTTCACGTCTCTTACCCATTTCCTCTTCTAATCCAGCGAAGCCCTACCAGGGTTGCTCTCCATAAGAACCTTGGTAGTTTGTGCTAGTCCGTAAGAACCTCCATAATGGCCACTGGGGTGGGGGCGGGGGCGGGGGCATCTGGCTGGAGAACTCATCTGGTTTTCTCTTCATTTGGAGATGAAAGATCACAGAGTTATCTTTAATCCCCCCTCCCCCCCGCCCATTTTCACTCAGGCTTAAAATTGTTTTCAGTCTAGTGGGGAACTGTGTAATTCTGGGAACTCAACCTTAATTCCATCAAAGAAAGACCAAAGGGGCAACTTGGTTGCTGGCCCAAGAAGCAAAGTTTGCTAACTTTGGGCACTGTGGGTTCTAGACCAACGCAGGGCTCGGTCCACCTTTTTCTCCCTCTGCCCCAGGCGGGTTTAGCCTGGCCCTTTGTCCCAGAAGCAGGCACGTGGCCTTTGGACTTTCCCAAGAAGCCAGGATTCCTCCTCCAGCAAGGGCGCCCTCTTGTGGGGCTTTTGGGGGGGGTCTGCTCTGCTTTTCCACTCTTCTGGGGTTGCGATTTCTGTCTCCCTCCCATTGTGAGCCACTTTTAAGTGATACGAAGGCTCATACGCCCACGGACCACTGTGGTTTGCCGAGACACCGAAACGGAGGATGGGGAGAGCTTGTTCTCCAGCCGGCTCTTTAACCTAATGACGGTTGCAGGAGACTGGCTAGGAACCGCGTTTCTACCCTTCCAGCACCTTATTATGGGCCGGCTATGTGCGCTAGCACGGAGACCCGCGGAGCGCAGCTTCAACCGTCTAGGGGCCCCGACGTCCCCGCGCCCGGTCGTGTCTCTGGTGGCGGGTCGGGGGCGCAGAATCGAGGCCCAGCTGCGCACCTGCCCCGGGCTGATTTTCCTTCGCGGATCAGCCGCTTTCCGCAGGACCTTTCCCCCACGGCCGCTCCCTCCATCCGGGGCTCACCGCCGCGTCGTCCACACCCGCGTACCAAGGACCCCAGGGCTCCGCGGCACCTGCCTCTCCGCCCCGGCTCTGACGGGATTCTCCGGGCGCCTATAGCGACGGGACACGGAGCTGTTGCTAGGCGGAACTGACGTATAACCAGGATATACAGGCGCCCAGCCCATCGGGTTTGTTCCCGATCGGCCCCCGTAACTCGGCGCTTCGCCCTGCCCCTCGACGGCCCGCCCCCAGACGGAGCTAGTTTGAGCAATCGTGGCGGGGCCACCAATGATGTCACGATACCCGCGGCCTATCCGAAGGCCACGCGGTACGTGGCCCTCCTGCGCTTCCGTCGTCTGGGAGGAAGGGGCGTTGTCGCGCCTGCGCGGGCGCTCTGACCACCGGCTGGCTCCTCGTGGAGGCTTCTCTGGTCCGCGCGCTTCAGCTCCTCTTGAGCTCCGGGCGCCTGCCGCGACACGCGGCGCTCGCGCGCCATGTCGTGGCTCTTCGGGATCAAGGGCCCTAAGGGCGAAGGCGCGGGGCCGCCGCTGTCCCTGCCGCCCGCTCAGCCCGGGGGCGAAGGCGGCGGGGACCGCGGCGCGGGGGACCGGCCGGCGCCCAAGGACAAATGGAGCAACTTTGACCCGACGGGCCTGGAACGTGCAGCCAAGGCGGCGCGAGAGCTGGAGCATTCGCGTGAGTGAGGCGGCGAGGGCGGGGCCCCGGCTGGGGCGAGGGGCCAGGGAAGCTCAGGACTCACAGCGAGCCCGTCCACCGAGCACCGGGCATGCCGGGTCCTTGGGCGCATGTAGCTCCTCAGTCGTCTGAGTGGTCGAGTGGTAAGTGGCTGTCTGCAGTCCCGTTTCCCAGGTGAGAAAACTGGTCTGCGGGAATAAATCTGGCAAAGCCGCCTTGGGTGCGGGGAGGTGGGGGATGCCATCATCCTTGGCAACTTCCCAAGCTGTCACGCGTCTGTCAGGTGAGGAGACCGCTGCAGATGGAAGTTTCAGAGGTCACAGGTGGCAGGTGCTGGGGCTGGAGCCTGGTCTTTAGTTACTGTAGAGTAGGGGAGCCCTTTGCTCCTCTTGCTGCCTCCACGTGGCCAAAGCGTGGCCAGATTGTGGTGGTGGTTAGCGATTTTTCCCGTTGCGAAGGCAAGCTCACTTGAGGACCGTTGGTTTTATGGTAATGAAGCAGATTTGTGCGTGTTATTGGAAAGCAGCGTTCAGGCAGTCGAGGTCTGTAAAGCAATAGGGGTCAGTCCGTCCTGGCTCTGCCTTCCTGACTCCCGGGCCCCCAAGGCACCATCATGGGCTGGACCTTCGCTAAGCCCACGTCTTTTTCTCTCACTCTTCCTTTTTCTTGTTGGTTTAATGATTTGTTTTAGGATGTAGTGTAAGTGTTTGAGAAGCTAGAACGTAGAAGACACAGAATAAGTACTGATGAAAAGGACCATAACGGCTGTCAAATTTTTATTTAAGCAGAGGTCTGCCATCCCCCCCCCCCCCCCCCCCCCCCCTTTAAAGGAACTTGTGTAGAGAAGCCATAGTGTAAACAAGGGTCTGTCTGAGAAATTAGAGGCCTGGCACTTGGTGGTTCAATTCCTGCTCTTCTCCAGAGACTCCAAGAAAACCCTGGTCCAAGGTCTCTGAGCCTGCCTGGCTCTCAGATCCCCAGAGGGACGTTAAAAACATATGGATATTTGGGCCTGGGACTCAAACAGCCTGTACCCTTAGGTCTAGCTGGAACACCACCAGTCCCAGACTAAGTGTATTGAGTTTGCGTGAGTTGGGGAGGGGCAGAGAGAGGGAGAGAGAATCCCAAGAAGGCTCCGAACTGTCAGCACAGAGCCCGGACTCACGAACTGTGAGATTATGACCTGAGCCGAAGTCAAGAGACAGACGCTCAACTGACTCAGCCACCCTGGTGCTCCCAAAGTTTTTTTATTTTTTTAAGTAATCTCTACACCCGATGGGGTACTTGAACTCACAAACCCAAGATCAGGAGTTGCATGCTCTTCCAACTGAGCCAGCCTGGCACCCATCTACTTTTCTTCTTCCTGCCATCCTTCCTGGCCGAACTACTGGCCAGTGGGAGAGGTTTTGCCCTGGTCTGTCACCTCCTCCTGTCCCCAAACCCTTCTTCCCAGGATGCATCTTGCCTCTGTCTCTTGTTTTCCTCTTTCAAGAGTCAGTGGTGGGGGATCTCTAATTTTCCATTTTCAGGTGAGGTTAACCCGGCTGGCCAAAGGTCATGCCGTGGGTAAAAAGGGCAGCTGGGACCTGGTCTCCACATTGTTGGCCTGTGGCACTCACGTTCCTGTCTGCTGCACCAGGATGAGCACTCTTGTGCTCTCACTCCCTCCTGGTCAGAGTTCATTGTTAAAGGGGCCCTTGCGGTCTCTTCAGGCCTCGGCTTCGTGCCTTCCCAAGTTTACAGTGCAGGGTATGGGACCCTGGTGCCTTTGTGCTGCCTCTCCTTGGGGGCAGGTCTTCAGCTCTTCTGTGCTCCCAGTCACCAGAGACCTAGGGGAGAGCCTTGCAGTGAGGTCTGGAAGGCTGTGTCAGCCAGGTCCTGACCCGCTCTGAAGGTCCTTCCCAGGCTTAGGCAGTGTTTTTGCGCACCGCATGCCCTAGCAGTCTGTCCAGAGACACCAGGGCTTCTGTCACATCCCTCTAAATGTGTAGATGTGTTTATGGAACAGCAAACAGAAGTCATGCTTTAGTTATGTGTTTGCTGCAGTTTGTGGGTGTTGGGGTCTGCAACTTACTTTGAAGGCTTCAAAAAGAAAGATCATGGGGCGGGAGTGGAAAGAAAGCAAAGGTACATTATAGCATCAGGGAGCGGGGTTCACAGGGATTCCCTACCTTCTTGCCGTGCTTTAATGTGTTAGAATATTTTTTACAGTAAAGTACTGCAGGTGGGAGAACTGTGTCATCACCAAAATATTTGAGAAGCTGTATGCCTGGGCTTTTTTGGCTAGGAGAGCACCAGAAGGCTTTTAATTTTTTTTACATTTATTTTTTTCCGAGAGACAGAGCACAAGTGGGGGAGGGGCAGAGAGAAGGAGACACAGAATCCGAAGCAGGCCCCAGGCTCCGAGCTGTCAGCACAGAGCCCGACGCAGGGCTTGAACCCATGAACCATGAGATCATGACCTGAGCTGAAGTCGGATGCTCAACCGACTGAGCCACCCAGGTGCCCCCACCAGAAGTTTTTTTTGGAACCCCCAAATATTGATGGATGTGAATTGTATCTCGTGAACAAAACATACACAGGAAACATTTATAACGTGTGTGTTTATAACACGAGGTCTGTGAAGAGTCGTCATTGTGCATTGGCTTGTTTCTAATTTAATTGTTTGCTTCCTATTCATCTTATCATCTGCACGTGTAGATTAATAATAACAGGTTACTGAAAGCTTAAAAGCTTAGGAGTTTAAGCAACTTCCACAAAAATAAGACACTGTAGCCACAGGTGCCTTTTTGTTTAATTGGGAACTGACTGCCACGTTAACCTTTCTACTCTCGGCTAGTGTGGAACAGCCTTCCTTTTTTCTTAAAAAACATTTTTTTTTAATGTTTATTTATTTGAGAGAGAGAACGAGCATGAGCAGGGGAGGAACAGACAGAGAGAGGGAGACACAGAATCCGAAGCAGGCTCCAGGCTCTGAGCTGTGAGCACAGAGCCCAACGCGGGGCTTGAACTCACGAATGTGAGATCATGACCTAAGCCGAAGTCAGATGCTCAACAGACTGAGCTACCCAGGCACCCCTTTTTTCTTTTTTTTTGAGAGAGAGAGAGAGAGACAGAGAATGCATGTGCATGAGCCAGGGAGGGGTAGAAAGAGAGGGGGACAGAGGATCCACAGTGTGGGGCTCAAACTCACAAACCATGAGATCATGACCTGAGCCGAAGTCGAACGCTTGACCGACTGAGCCACCCCGGCACCCTGGAACAGCCTTTCTCATAGAGCCCTCCCGCGATGTGACAGCTGCTGGGGTACAAGACCTTGTACACGGGCTTTCTGTCAGGCGTAGAGCAGACATAGGTGATGAGAAGGGAGTACTGGTCTTTGGAGCGAGGGGGCACCAAGCAAGATCCAGTCAGGGAATGCAGGTGGGCACATGTGTTTCGAGGTCGAGGTGAGCTGTGGTCTCCCCGAAAGCCCCTTGGTTCACATGAATGCTTGCCTGGTGTCCGAGCGTCCTGACCCTACTCGCCCGCTCCCCACAGGACACGCCAAGGAGGCACTGAGTCTTGCACAGATGCAGGAGCAGACGCTGCAGCTGGAGCAGCAGTCCAAGCTCAAGGTGGGTAGTGGGTGTGGTGCCAGCGGAGGCGGTCCTTGTGGCGGAGGGACGCAGGACGGTGGGTGGTGGGCACAGGACGGGAGCTTCAAGCGTCTCCTTTCTGGGATTACCTTATTGCTTGTGGTTAAGAGGGAAATACGGAGAGGTCAAAGATGTGCTGGGTTTGTGGCTTGGGTTCTTGCAGCAGAACGACCCGGAAGGGCTAGTGTAGGTGAGGACCATCTGGTCTCCCCAGGGGAGAGTCTTACTGGGTGTCTCTGCATTTGGCAGGACCTTCCCGTTGAGCAGAGAAGGATAGCAAAGGCATGGGCCCTGCCCTCCGCCATTGGCTGTTGTAAAGTGTAGTCAGAAAGTGAGCATGTGAGGGCTGCCTGGCGGGCTCAGTCATAAGAGCATGTGACTCTTGATCTCGGGGTTGTGAGTTTGAGCCCCCATTGGGTGTAGAGATTACTTAAAACCTTAAAAAAAATGTGAGCACGTGACATAAGCCACCTTGGAAGCGGTGTTGGGGAGGGAGTGACTGGCATCCCAAGGGATTGGCCTGCTCCTTGGGACCCAGCCCTGTCCGATTTCCCGCCACTGGGCTGCCCGGGAGTCTAGGTCCTCCTGGGCCTTGGTGCCCGTGCAGTGGTGCTGGTCCAGCGAGCGTCTTCTGGAAGCAGCTCCTGCTCCTGTCCCGGCCCCTTTGGAGCCCACATGGAATGTGGGAGAGGGTTGTTGAGGCCTGAGCTCAAAGTCCTGAGCGGGAGGCCCCGCCGGCCTTGGGCTTGAAGCAGCTGGTGTATTCTATAGGAATATGAGGCCGCCGTGGAGCAGCTGAAGAGCGAGCAGATCCGCGTTCAAGCTGAGGAAAGGAGAAAGACTCTGAGCGAGGAGACGAGGCAGCACCAGGCTGTAAGGGCCGCTTGGCCACACGGGCACAGGGGGGCCAGGATGGGAAGCTTCTGGGGTACTCCGTGGTCCCCGCGTTCAGTCTGGGTCTGTTAGTGACCCCCCCGAGGCCGTGGGATGACCTTGTGCAAACGCCCACGAATACGTCCGCGCTGAGCGGGCCGGGGAGCACACGTGTCCAGGCGAGCAGGCGGCTCGTCTGAGGGCCTGGCGAAGTCTGGCTCTCGACATCGGTTTGGGGCCGTCCGCCAGCTTCTGCAGCTGACCCGCGTTCATGCTGCCGTCTTCTTCCCCAGAGGGCCCAGTACCAGGACAAGCTGGCCCGGCAGCGCTACGAGGACCAGCTGAAGCAACAGGTGAGCTCAGCACACTGGCACGCGAGGGGGGCCTCCTTTGGCCTCCCTGAGAGCACGGGCGTCTTCTGGGGCAGCTGGTGGGCCAGAACTCAGGGTGGTTTTACCAGCAGTCAGTGCTGGGTCCCAGAGGAGCGCGCGCGTGTGCACGCGCGCACACACACACACACACAATGCCCAGGGCCTCCAGGCTCTGGCTGTGCCGGAGGGGTTCTTCTGTGTGAGACCTGACTGGGGACCTGGCTGGGACAAATTTATGGTGGGGGTGGTTTCCAAGTGTTTGCACCCATCGTGCTTTGCGCCCTCACAGTTTATAAATTTAACAGGGGAAAGAGTGTTTGGAGGGCAGCTGGGAGTGGGCTGGGAGTGCCCTGGGGCAGAGCTATGCCAGAGGCAGGAGCTTCTGAACCGGGCCCCCTCGCTGTGCGCGTCCAGAGCCCCTGTGGTGGCAGAAGCTTCCCTCGCTGATCTCTTAGATCAATGTTGGTCATTTCCTAGCTTTGGAAGCTTTTCCCTTTCTCCTGTGGTTTCTTGTCAGCAACTTCTCAACGAGGAGAATTTAAGGAAGCAGGAGGAGTCTGTGCAGAAGCAGGAGGCCATGCGGCGAGGTAGGGTTGTCAGTTCTGCCTGGGGCTTTTGGGGGCTACGTCCTTGGAGCTGGCTCACAGGGAAAGCAGGCCGTAGGCATAGATACGTGTTTCTTCAAGCACTTTGATCCCCAAGTAAAATTCCCAAACCTCGACGGGGGCTCTGCGTTCTTTGGCCTTAGTCGGAGCTTTGTAGCAGAAGCCTAGGCAGGCCGGGCGTCCCCCCCAGGGTCTGACGTGCATTGCCTCCCTCCTGTGAGAAGGGGTTGCCTGGGCCTCGCTGGAAGGGTGGGGGACTGCAGGCTGAGCACCCCTTTCCTGCCACGCCCCGGGCAGCCACCGTGGAACGGGAGATGGAGCTTCGGCACAAGAACGAGATGCTGCGGGTGGAGGCCGAGGCGCGCGCCCGAGCCAAGGCCGAGCGTGAGAACGCAGACATTATTCGTGAGCAGATACGCTTGAAGGCTGCTGAGCACCGGCAGACCATTCTGGAGTCCATCAGGTGAGGCCCAGTCCCCAGGAGGCCCTCGGTTGGCGCGCTGGCGGGAGGCGGGCTCTTTCAGCAGGCCCTCCCGTGTGCTGAGCTTCAGAGCTCTTGCCCTTTCTCCAGCTGAGTGCCCAGATCCATCCTCTCCTGGTCACGTTGCTGCTTTCTCTACAGGACAGCCGGCACCCTGTTTGGGGAAGGGTTCCGTGCCTTCGTGACAGACTGGGACAAAGTGACAGCCACGGTAATAACCCCTGACACATCCTCCTGCTTGTGGCCTGCGTCGGGGTCTCTGCTGGGTTGTGTCCCTGCCTCCTGGCGCTCAGCGGTAGGAAGTGTGCCGGGCAGGTCCCTCCTGCTGCGCTCCTGGGAAAGTCAGGTGTGGTGTAGCCTCTGGGTGTGGGGCACTGGCGGTGGGCTTTGTGACCTGTGGGCTGGAAGATGTGGGAAGGGAGCTTCGTTTTCCCTCGTCCTTAACAAGTGCCGCCCCGTGGAAAGGGGAACTGGAAGTCTGCCCAGCAGCCTCCGGAGTGGGACCCGGCCGAAACCCCAGGGGTTCCGGGAGATGTGGCAGGGGACCCTTTCGAGCCGTGCTCCCGTGAGGGCTCCCCCCCTCCAGCGGGAAGCGGAGGTAGGCCCAACAAGGCTGTAGGGCTCCAGGCACGCGCTCTGAAAGCCCTGTGCCGTGGGGCTGCTCCCCACTCGAGGCGGAGGGGATTGTTGCCACTGTGCCCGGTGCTGTCCTGGGCCGCACGGTGCGACTTGGCACCTGCTCCCACGGTACTGAGGCCCTAACGAAGGGGTGGCAGGGAGCCGTGCTGACCAGGAGTGCCCTCGCATTCCTGATGTGCTGGTTCCTGAAGCTCTTTCTGCAAGCGGACACGGTTCTGGCCTTGTTCTGGAGACCGTGATGGGGGGCAGGTGAGGTCAGGCCGTGCCTTGGGGAGAGCAGGGACTGGACTGGGAAGGGCCAGGACTCTGGTCGAGGAAACCTGAAGCTGGTCAGACCGCTTGGTTCTTAAAATGGCCCCTCGAGTCCTCTAGCTCAGGGCAGGGACGTGGGGCGAACAGGGGCTCCTGACATGGTCTTCCCAAACATGTTTTGAGTAACTCCGGGTTGGAAGCGGAGGGTTTCAGCCCTGTTGAAAGTGGTCCGGGCTCCCTGGGTCATGCAGCCCGCAGCCCGGGGGGCTGGGTGAGCCGAGCAGTTCCTCTGGCTTCTCGACAGGGCTGCCCCGCCACTCCCCGCGTCGCACAGGGAGCTGCCAGAATATGGCCTCTGGTGTTCTGGTGAAGAAAGCGGGCTTCCTCTGGACGCCATCTTGCCCCCCCCCCTTGGGCACCCCTGTTCAGATTGGGGTTCCCACAGGAGGGAGACCCAGCACGGGGTCTGGGCTTTGCCTTCTCCTGGTGCCGAGCCGGGTGGGGGCACCCGTCTGAGACTAGAGGACAGAGCTGGCGTGGGCTTGGCTGTGCAGCGTCTGAGCCTCAGGCCTTACCTGCGTGCTTGTCTCCCTCTGACCCTCCTCGCCCGTCTCCACCTTGGAGCTCTGTGGCGCTCGTGCGGTGTCCTCTGTGCCGCAGCCGGGCACACAGGAAGCGCTCAGTACCTGCTGTGGGTACTGCGCCAGGGACAGCGTCTCGTAGAAGAGTCTAAATGTCACTGCCTGTATCGGAGCCAGTCAGCCTGCTGATCGGTTGTTTCGTGGAACTAGCAGCTTTAGATCAACCTTGGAATTCGCTTACTCCTGGAAGAAGTTTAGCTTTCGTTAACGCGGAGGCCCGGTCGCCTCAGAGCTGCTTAGTCCTGCAACAGCCTCAGCGTGGAGTGCTCACGCTCACAGTTGAAGGTTACGGAGGGGCGCCCGGGTGGCTCAGTCCGTTAAGTGTCTGACTCTCGGTTTCGACTCAGGTCACGATCTCACGATTTCATGAGTTCGAACCTCACGTTGGGCTCTGTGTTCACAGTGCAGAGTCTGCTTGGGATTCTCTCTCTCTCCACCCCTTCTCCACTCATGCTGTCTCTACCTCTCTCAAAATAAATAAACTTAGTTCCAAATCTTGGGAACTTGTTTACTAGCTTATTTTTCTGAACCAGGCCATTGAACGGTGAGCATCGCAGGAGTGAAGAGGCTAATGAGCCCGCCTGAAAAACCGAGGTCCTGTCACTGGAGTTTGTGAAATGCGTGGTGGCTTTCTACCCCCTAGAGCACGTCTGCCTTCTTCCTCATAACCCTGGGTCCTGCTTTTGTGGCATGACCTTGTTTGTGGCTGGTCAGAGGCCCTTGGGGCCGGTTTGAGCAGAGCCCCAGCAAAGCAGTGAGACCCTTTGAGTAAAAACCACGTGGTCTGCTTCCCCACCAGCAAACCTGGTGCTGCTCTCTGTTTCTGTTTGTTTTTTTTAATAAGAAAAGTTTTTCTTTAATGTTTATTTTTGAGAGCAGGGGCGGGGCATAGAGAGAGGGAGGGAGGGAGACACAGAATCCGAAGCTGTCAGCACAGAGCCCGCTGGGGGGCTTAAGCCCACAAACTGTGAGATGGTGACCTGAGCCGAACTCAGATACTTAATAGACTGAGCTACCCAGGTGCCCCTTTATTTTACATTTTTTAAAGTTTACTTATTTTGAGAGAGAGAGTGGGACAGGGGGAGAGAAGTTGACTGAACCACCCAGGCGCCCCTCCCTGGAGTGTTTTGAAGTGAATTAAGGGCATTCTGATTCCTCTTGTGGTCTGAGTACCCCGTGCACTCAGATCTCTCCAGATCTCCCCAGCTGCTGTAAACACCCGTGGTTAGTGACTGAGTCTCATGTGCATCTCAGTCCAGAATCCCTGTCGGGCTGGGGTGGTGCTGTGGGCTGGCAGGCAGTCCTGGTCTGCCCACTGGCAGGGCTCCTTGGCTGGGAATCTGGGCACATGAAGGAATCTGTGGGAAAATGTCCCTTGCATTTACTTTCCAAACAAGCTGGGTAGACGCGCAGAGGGCTGGTTGCTGGAGAAGGCTGGATGACATCAAAGGTTGCTGGATTTGGGAGCCGCGGGCTACCCTGGGGCCTTTGTTTCTGTCACTGCAGTTGCCATCTGGTCTCCTGGAACCTCACTCATGTGGTCTCAGAGTCCTCGCTGCCCCTGTGGTAGCCAAGCTGTTGGTCTTGTGGGGAAGAGCTTTTAATTTCCAGGAGCCTCTTGTAGGTCTTGGTCGTGTGCCCTGTAATTGTGGTCCCACCACGATGTTTGGTCTGTCCCCCATGAGCCTGAGGGTTCCTCTCTTTACGGTTGGGGTTCCTGTCGCCTGGAAGCACCTCTAGTCCTGCCGGAATGTATTCTCCAGTAGCTTTGTGAGGAAGAGTGCTTGTGATAAGCTTTTTGGTATGTTTTCTGTCTGGAAATATCTACAGTCTCGTGTAATTGAGGATTTGGGCTTGGGGCTGCTCCTGTATGACCCTTGCCGTCACCTAGCACGGGACGGGATGAGGAGGGCTCGTTGCTGACTGCTGAACAGGTGGTGGGTGCCACTCACCTTCTGCCCTGCTCTAGGTGGCCGGGCTGACACTGCTGGCCGTGGGGGTCTACTCTGCCAAGAACGCCACGTCTGTTGCTGGACGGTACGTTGAGGCCCGGCTGGGGAAGCCGTCCCTGGTGAGGGAGACGTCTCGGATCACAGTGCTTGAGGCCCTGAGGCACCCCATGCAGGTAACTGTGGGTCTGGTCCTCACTGGGCGTGTCCTGCCCGAATCCTTCTGGTGTTTCAGCCAAGTTGTGAACGTGCGTCTTCATTTCCCCCTTTTACCCAAACACTATCCATCCTTTCTTGCACATGGGATTTGCTTGTGGCTTTTTCCTCTTTGATGCTATCCTAGGGGCCCGTCCACATCAGCACTGGGAAGACCCTCACCCTGGTTTGTCAGTTGCCTCTATGTGTCTGTTGATGTGACTGCCCCCTGGGTAGATTTTGGGTCATTTACAAAATCCTCGGCTTCCCGCATGCCATCACCCTAGGAGAGAAGTTGCTGGAAGCAGTACTGTGTCAGCTTCCTCCCCCAAGGGGTCCAGGCTTCTGCCTGATGCAGTGTCACTCCTTCCGTGGGCTGTGGCTGGACGTCCACGGCAGTCGCCCGTGTGCAGTGTGCGACTACGGAAATAAAGGTCAATGAGGAATCTGTAAGTTGCCTGGCCCAGTCCCACGGTCGGCTCTGTGTGCCCGCCTTCCAGAGCGAGGCCCAGCCTGCGTGTCCTGGACCGAGGGGTGCCACGGCAGTTCTGTTTCCGTGTGGTGGCCTAGCTGCTCCCGGTGCTCCGTGGCTGTCATGGGCTCTGCCGATGACCCTGACCGTCCCCCGTGTCCCCCCGTAGGTCAGCAGGCGCCTCCTTGGTAAGCCCCAGGACGCACTGGAGGGCGTCGTCCTCAGTGTAAGTGGTGCCGCCCACGGGGGCCGGGACAGGCGTCGGGGTGGGAGGTGCCCTTCTGCCCACAGAGCTCTTCGCCCGCCCCCAGGATCGGGCTGCTTTTCTTTCCTAAAGTAGAATTTGCTGCCTGAGGCCCAGCCTGGGATAAGCTGCCTCCTGGGGCCAGCCCAGGGGCTCAGGAGGCACACGCTAGCTGCAGAGTCAGCCCCAACTGCCCCGTTCCCTGGCAGCCCAGCCTGGAAGCGCGCGTGCGAGACATTGCCATTGCGACAAGGAACACCAAGAAGAACCGGAGCCTCTATAGGAACATTCTGATGTATGGGCCTCCTGGCACCGGCAAGACGCTGTTTGCCAAGGTGAGGGCACACGGCGGCACAGGTGCGTGGGGTGCCGTGCTGCGGCTCTGGGGAGTGGGTGCGGGGCATCAGGAGCCACGTGGTGGGGCCGGCTTTCCAGGCGAGGGGCATCCCCAGGGGCACTGGGCAGTGGGGCCTGAGCACGGTCTGTGCAGGCTTTGGGGGGGACGAGAGTAAACACGCTTTGCCCTTTCTTGCCCAGAAACTCGCGCTGCACTCGGGCATGGACTATGCCATCATGACAGGTGGGGATGTGGCCCCCATGGGGCGGGATGGCGTGACTGCTGTGCACAAGGTCTTCGACTGGGCCAGCACCAGCCGGCGAGGGTGAGCCGGGTCCCTTCTGGGGTGGCCCCCCATGTGCATGCGTCTGCGTGGCCTGGGTTCCTGGCACCAGCGGGCTGCAGGTGGCTGGGTGGGAGGGTGTGTCAGTGACTTTCCCCACAGTCTGTGCCTGTGGGCGTGCACAAGGCCGGAACAGCTCTGTGGTCTGGGGTGGGGGTCTGAGGGAGAAATTCACCCCAGGTATAGATTCCTGGGGGCCTGTGCTCCTCTCAGGAGTCTCTGACTTTAAAGAGGGGCTGACTTTAAAAACACTGGGGAAAGAAAGGCGCCTGGGTGGCTCAGTCGGTTGAGCGTCCGACTTCAGCTCAGGTCACGATCTCACGGTTTGTGGGTTTGAGTCCTGTGTCAGCCTCCAAGCTGTCAGCACAGAAGCCTGCTTGGGATTCTGTGTCTTTCTGTCTCTCTGCCCCTCCCCTGCTCATGCTGTCTCTCTCTCTCTCTCTCTCTCTCTCTTAAAAATAAAATGGGTGGGGTGCCTGGGTGGCTCAGTTGGTTAAGTGTCTGGCCTCGGCTCAGGTCATGATCTCACTGTTTGTGGGTTTGAGCCCTGC